TTCAAATTCCAGATTGTTTAATCTGTGAATGTTCCTGGATATGAAGCACAGTTTGATGATGTCCCACACAAGTTAGAAATAGCTCAAAGGAGTTGCACAGCCTACAGACAAATCTGAACTCTCTGAATACATATGGTTATGCCTGCCCTCAGATTACCTTTAAAAATTTCAGAGAACAGATCCAGTCAAGTCATCTCCTTACTTCCCTTAAGAATCTTCTAGAGCCTTCCATTCACATTAATATCCTCACTCTTACTATCCTAACTTCTCAAACTATAATTTCTTCCTACTACAATGTACTGATCCTGATACATTCATTCCTGTGTGCCTTAAATGGCAGGTTGCCTCAGAAAAACGTGCAGGATTCTTGAAGGGAAGTTCAAAAACTTCAGCTATCTCCTTCTTGCATTTCCTTGGTCCCCAATCTCTTTCCCATAAAGTTTCTCAAAGAAATGAGAGCATAATGATATTGTAGGATTATAATGGAGAAATGAACTTCAGTGGTTTGACAGTAAGAATATCTGTCTATAGTTCTGTAGCCTGTCTATGTGCAGTGGCTTAGCTACACAGCTTTCCTGAAAGTCTCAGTGAAGTGGCCTAGTCTCTACCTTGCAGATCACACTCAGTTGTGATATGAAAGTCAGCAGAAGGCAGGCTTGGGGGACAGCAACTTCCTGGGAAATCATTACTTGGAATCTTTAGAAAATATATTGCATTTCTGTACTAGTTTAATTGCCCTTCCCTTGAAGGAGCCATTCATCCTTTTAAAGTACAGAAAAGGAAGCATGTGTTTAACAGTATACTTACCTTAGAATTTGCTCTGAAAAGTTCAGGTGACAGGGCCACAACAGGCATTGTTTTCCCTTGTCACTAGCCCTTAGAGTCCTTTGATTCTCTCTGCCAGCTTGCACAGGTGTTTTCTCCTTTTAGTTTCCCTATAACTTACAGGGTGACTTCTCCATTTTCAGACAAGTCATGAACCCAACTTAGCCAGGTCATCTATTCCCTGGCTTTTCAGTCTTATCAGCTTGACTAAGATTGTGAAATAGGCAGCGTGAGATTGCATAAAACAATATGTACCACATTGGTTAGCCATTGAGCCGTGGCTCACAATCTTCAAAATCACCATCAATCAATAGTAGTAAGATCAGACCTCTTTCAGTAGCTGCAATTGTCCCTGGACTTCTGCTTTGACCGTGTGACTTCTCTGTCACTTCCATATGGGTAACAGCAGGAATTGAAATGGGGGGGGGCAAGGCATCCAGGCCACCACCAACTAACAGAAAACATCAACTAACAAATAAATATATCTTCTTTTGCACTCCCCCATGCAAAAGCATTTAAAGAGTTTCTTCCAAGATCCTGGTGGGAATCCATAAAGCCTACACAGTGGCCATCTTTGATAGGGCATCTCTGCATTGCCTCTTGCTTTCCTACTTTAAGCTGGCTCACACTTTCTTGATGCCTGGATTATATCCCTAAGGATACTACCTTCATAAAAGCTCTATCTCAATCACAGCTTTTCGCCAAGAGCACAGCTCAGAGCTAAAGAGTTTAGAATAGGGTTTTGAATAAGCAGGTTCCATAAACACTGTTTAATCTACCTGTCCTTGACTGGTTAGTATATCCAAGAGCACTATTACATTGCAAACTCTATAATCTATAAACAAATCAAATGGTTCAGGACTCATCCATATTCCTTCAACTGGAACTTTGGCCACAAGAAGAATCTCTCCTGCTTTTCATGAAAAAAAAAAAAAAATAGGAGTGATTCTTTCCTGCAGAATCATGAGTCTTTAGGGACAATGAGACCTTGTGTGAAAGTCTATTCTCTGGGAGATTGTGGGATGAGAATATCAGACAAATCCTTAAAGGTCAGAAAGAAAAAAAATCAACAGACCATTAGTAAAATTCATTTTGGATTTTATTCAAATATGCAAGAGAAAAATCAGAAATCATAGGTAAATGAAAGGCTCATAGGACAGGGTAAACATGAGCCAAGTGTAGCCTGGAGGGTACTTGATACTGAGGAGATAGGAGAGTTACTGGTCAGAAAGAAAGTGGATGATTGTTTCAAAGCACTTTTTACAATTAGTATACAGAGAAAATCATTCTAGGTTTTAACTCAGGGAACATCTATAGTGACATCTCATCTGAAAAGCATTTGCAAGAAACTGTCAGAACCCTGATGGAAAACTTCAGTCCAGACAAGAGGTCTCTTGGGTGTCACCATTTCCTCTTACATTAACCATTTTCCCTTATCATTAACACCAGGTAGAAATGTAACTAGGTGTTTTCTGGGATTGTTAACTCACAGGTACATTGAGTTGGCTTAATTCGAATGTAGAAGTCAGATATTTGTGGTTGATCCTGTACATGACACCGAATATAGGGAAGAGAGAGATGTGAAAAGATGAAGGTTGAGTTTTTTTCTGGGCCAAAATGTCTAGCAAAAGTCTCACTGAGCAGCAGTTTCTTTTCTTTTCTTATTCTCAGATATTCTAAAAGAGCCCCAGGAACTCAATTAATTATAGGGTAGTTTCAGCTTCTCAATACGTGGGCCTGTTTTGAGGGCTCTAGGTTTCATTTACTGCAGCATGAACTCTATGGCAACAGGGCACTTACCTGTTTTGCTCACTATCACATCTCAGGCCAGGAACAAAAACTAGCACAAATGTTCAGCAACTGTTTGTAAAATGAATAGATCTATCCTTTAATTCTCCAGATGGCCCACTCTGTACTTTGTGTATAACCCTTCCTTGGTAAACATTTGTTGAACTGAACACCCAATAAAGAATTGCTTGCCTCAAAGACACAGAGTCCTGTATTTTATAAATTGGAGTTATAGAACATGGAGCAAACCTTTTTGACAAAGAGCTCCGACCTTTGAAACTATATAATAAAGACACTTTTCCTTTTTCTTTTGATAATTTTTTATTTAAATTTGAAATAAGCGTATTATATATGTCAATCTCACTTCTCGAACCCTCCCGTCCTCCCCTGTTCCCCCTACCAACCACCATCCCATCTCCTTTTCTGCTCCCCAGGGAGCAAACTTCCATGGGGAGTCTTCAAAGTCTGAAAAGATACCTTTCCTTGTGCAGGGATTTTATTTTCTTCCTTCCCTAATGATTCCTGGAACACATCTGATGTCAGCCTCCAACTTATAAATTTTAAGTTGACCCGTGCCCCGGAAATGATCCATTTGTCTTAGAATAAGGATACTAACATTCAATGAGTCACAATGTCTACTCCAGTTCTGTGTCTTACAAGTCAGTCAGTGGTCTTGAGAACACTTTATTTCAGAGCACAGACAGTGGAAACGGTGGGCATAAATATGGCTTGGCCTGGCAGGATCTGACCGATTGTAGAGCTCTGTCTATATGGTAAGCGAAACAATTGCATGCCGTTCTTGTCTCCACAAGATAGGAACAACCTATGGTTATAGGATGTATGTGCCCTTTTGTAACCAGCTGTATCAGTGTGGCACAGCAATGGGTAAAAATATCCATTGTCCTACAAAGATAAAATAAAAATTCAAAACTTTCAAAATCTGATGAACTTTATGGATGTTACTGTTAGTATTCCATTGGAAATAATCTCATGAGTATGATTCCTCTATTTTACTCTATACATACTGGTTGTATACTTTTAATTAGTTGCACACCTTCTCATATTTAAAACCTCCTTGTAAAGATCTAAAGTACATACATCTTAGATTATTGAAGACTCAACAGTATAGTAACATTCCTGGGTGAAAAAGTACGTTTGTGTTTTAGAATTATATTTATAATTGATAATTTATATATACAACTAGATTTTTTTTCTTATGTAAGCCATCAAAAAATTAAAATGTGGTAAGAATTTTTTTTTTCAAAATATATTTTTCTGTAGCCCACGCTGGCTTGGAACTCACTAGGCAATCCAGGCTAGCCTTAAATCCATGGCAAATCCTCCTGCTTTTGCTTTCTGAGTCATGGGATTTTAGGCATAAGCCAAATGTATATATATGTATATTTATATGTATATATTATATACATACATACATACATATTTCATTAGATATGTAAATGTTACATACATAAATGTAAGCACTTTAGCGACCAAAACAAAACAAACAAAATATATGTATTTACATATATATATGTGTGTGTTTTATATATATATGTATATATATATACATATATATATATATAGTCTCTTTATAACTTTGCCTATTAACTTTGGAGATAAAAATATACAGGTAACATTTAAAATCATATGAAACCTAAAGTGGTGATATGGATAATGAAGACCTGATTATTGAAGAGTAACCCTAGAGCAATCAAGTATCAACCAAGAAGTCTAACTAGTAGAATAAAGGAGGACCACACAAAACATATGCAGTTGCAAAAGTAGAAAACAGAGGTAATAGGCTTTATCATAAATTCAGATGAGTCATAGTGGACTAAGTACTGCATTTGACAACATGCTGTGCATTATAATTTTGATAGGAGGGAATGGATGCTCAATTGGAAAAAAAATGATGACAGAACTAATGGCTAGAAAGTGAACAGTAAGAAATGTAACATGTTTTACTGGTGATAGATATGACATGGTCTTTGCTTTCAAGAAAGGCCTGAAAAGGTTATGATTTTGTTTTCTATTTTGTTTTGTTTTTTGGTCCCAAAATGGTTACATTTATATACATAAGCACTCATATTTTTTCTTTATTCGTGAATTTCATACATATGTGCAATGAAATGTGATTATTTTGTTCATCATTTCTCACCTCCAAATCCTTCCACATATTCTTCAATATGTTCCCTTCCTAACTTTGTAACTTTTTTAAATAACCCACTATGGCTAATCAGTGCTGCCCGTGTGTGCATGGCTGGGGCCCATCTCTGGAACATGGGATGCCCACCAGTGGGAACTTTAGAAAGACAAGTTACTACAATAAAGAAAAAAAGTTATGTTAAAGTTTCTTTAAGAACACAAACTTTTATTAACTATCAGAATTTCAGTTTGTTTACATACAACATAAAGGTATATTTTATATGGGTCACTTCATAAATTAACTTTTCAAACATGTTGTTTAAAGTGCAATTCAAAAAGAATTAGGAACATTTTAAAAAAGATCTTTATTTTTTTCCCTACACCAAAAATCTTCCAGGAGTCATTAGAAAGTTACAATAATATGTAAAGGAATATGATAAATGTACCCTTTGGAACAAAACTCAGATTTAGTAGGCAACAAGAATGGTTGAGCAAAGTGTCCCTTTGTCATCCAATCAGATCACCATATATTTCCGTAATTCACTTTGTGTGTACATAGAAACCATTGCTGCCCAGCTGAAAGCCTGTCTTTTCATTTGAAAGAACTGGAGAAAGAATGTAGTTTAATGAACACCAATGTTGTGTTCTAGGATTTGTATCTAATCAGTGATATCTTCCGGGCTGCTGTTTCTCAGGGTTTCTAAAGACATGTTTTCAGCAGAAGTGTGCTCTTCTTTCAACGTGTGAGGCAGTGAAGAGGCAAGCCTAGGGGAAAAAAAGGAAACCATGCTAGTTATCTTTTAGTTTCTTTCTAATTTCTAATTTTTATTTTTTCCTTTTATTGAAAACAGATATTTTATCTTACATAATATACCCCTCTACTCTTCCTAGTTCCTTCCTGCCTACCCTACCATCCAGATCCTCTGTCTTTCTGTCTTTTATCAGGCTTTTGAGAGGTAATAATAAAATGCAATAAAACTCCATATGGTACAGACCCATGCAGGCCCTACGCTGCCTCAGTCTCTGTGAGTTCATATCATATCCATTATATTCATTTAGAGGGTCTTGTCTCCTTGGTGTCTTCTATCCCCTCTGGCTCTTACATTCTTTTCATCTCCTCTTCTGCAGGGCTGAGCCCTGAGGGGAGGGATTTGATGGGGACATCTTTCTAGGGTTGAGCATTCACAGGCTCTTACTCTTTGCACATTGGCTGTGGGTTTCTAGATTTTTTTTACCTGGTAATATCCATGTTGTCCTTCAGGAACTGCACTCTCTGATCACACGAGCTTCTTCTAGTAGTCACCTATCACTTGGTTACTTGTTTATAATTAATAATTACTTCATATCCATGGCAGATAGGGACGAAATGTACTGGTCCACATCACTTTTTGGGTCTACGCATAATCACGCAGTAAACCAAATTCTGTTTAGATGCATGAGTTCGTGCAGCTACTGCTTCACTGGATTTGACATCTATATGTAAATACAATTTGTGAAACCAAGACAACAGCCTTGTTCACTCCATGACCACTGTGCCTAAGCAGACTGGACTGGAGGATCATAGTATTCAGTCAAATGTGAATTGATGTCCTTGAGTAAACAGTGCCCATGGTTCACCACTGAGCCCAAGGAAGCATTACTCAATTTTAACTAGAGGTAACTTGAGGGGAAGATGCAATTAGATCAAATCATTCAATTAATAGAGGTATCTGCATGTTTCCAGCTTCAAAGCCATGGTTAGCTTACTCTAGCTAAAGGTTAAAGAAGCAGTGGTATGGCTTTAGGTAAGTCAGTTCATCCAATGGGACTTCAGTTCTCTTTTCTAGAAAACTTAATAGTAATGTGCAGATTAAACCAAGTGATACAGATGAAAATGCTTGCAAATTCCCATAAGACAAGCAGAACCTGTTACTATTAGTGGCTAAATATTGAATAAACTATTAAGATCTGGTAATAGAATAAAGGAATAACCAACTGAAGTCCAGAAATATCAGATATGTATGATAATTTAAAAAGTCCTGCATTTACACTTATTTTAATAGATTATTTAAATTGATCTCACTGCCCAGTCCTCCTTAGTCACTAGATTATGCACAATTAACCATGACTGGCTGGTTACCCCCAATCTAGGATATATCTTGCGTACTCCAAGTAAGCCAAGGGCAGACAACCTGATTATGCCAAGGTGCTAGGTGTTAATGTAGGATCAAGATTACAATTATAATCCCAGGGAATTTATAGGAAATACAGATGTAACTATTATAACACGTAATCAAGTATCTAAAATGTACTACTTCATAACAGAAAAAAAGATACTATGTAAATAGCAGCTTATCATTACACATACATTTTCATACATGTACACTCACATACATGTACAAACACATACATGTATATATGCTTTCATAAAAATACACACACACACACACACACATGTACATAATACACATTTCCCCCCTCTGGTCTGAGATATCTTAGTTACTTTTAGCTCTCTTGTGCAAATAGAGGACTGAGTTATGTCAATTATGAAGTCAGACTTGGAAAGGCCTCTGCAATTTTGTTCACTGTCTAGACACTCTGTAGAAAACAGAGGTCAATCAACTCTGTTTTAAAATATCAGTAGAAAACAAAAGGATTACTCTGAAGGGATGAGACAGAAAGGAAGAAAATCCTGGTGATACACTTAAAACTGCTGTCTGTCTAAAGCCAGATGCTTAAGAAACTAATTTGACCCTTGTTAGGGTCCTGAGCCATGATAGGTACAGTGAGGATGGCTCAGGACAGGAATGTCCAATTTTCAGGTCTCATACATCCACACCAAAGAAAAGTTAGTCTCTTTCCCAAGGATATTTCAGACATGTCTTGTAAATATCATAAAGCATAAAGTACTAAAGTGAAAGTTTTTCTGTTTTACTTTTTTACTGCTTAGAATTCAGGTAGATTTCAGAAAGTTTACTGTGTGATGATGGTTCCATAGGGAGAATTCAGAAGCCAGGATCAGGAGATCTTTACCTGGGATCAACAAAATTCTATGTGTACATTAAAACCATTGTGAAATTTTTTTCAATGGTAGGTTAAAAACAAATGTACAATAATATTAAGGCTTCCAGAGGATGTCAAATAACTAGATAAAATATTGTTGGTAAGAAATCCAATATTAGAAATTACTATAGAAAACAACTTGTCAATATCTCCCAAAGATAAGGAAATGTTTCCACCTGTGGCTCAGGAATTCACCACTAGGCAGATTTAGGACATACATACATGCATGCATATGCAGTGCTATATTATTTTTGATTTATTAAAACTTGTATGAGGATTCAGAAAGCAAAGTCAGCCACAAGCTACAGAGATCAGTCAGTGGTGATACATTTTAATCACAGGACTCAGGATTAAGAGGTAGATGGATCTCTGTTAGTTCAAGGCCACAGTACACTGACTATATAAAATTGATCTAGTCTTAAAAATAAACAGCTCACACAGGTGATCTTAGTACTTGGGATCATATGCTTGTAATATATAATCATAGAGGTGTTTATTAATAGTGAAAAACTTCAAACTAAATAAATTTCTCTCAATTGAAAAATGGCATACCTGTCACTGAATTTTCACATAATAAAATACTAGACAGCTATACACATGTACAAAATCTAAAGAAATGCTGAGTAATGGGTCAAGGCATAAAAGAATATATACCACTGCATGTCTCCACTGATAGGAGAAGTCATTCTGTAAATATGTTTCTCATACTGGTTAATGAATAAAGCACTGTTGACCAATAGGAAAGCAAGACAGGCAGGAGTAGGAGGCAAGGAGTATTCCAGAAGAAGTAGGGAGGAGATTGAAGATGGAGGCAAGAGAGAGAAGAACACCAGCCCCTCTCTCCAGTAAGAAGAGACCACGTGGAAGTACTTAGATTAATAGAAACAGGTTAATAATTAAGACAGAGCTGGCCAATAAGAAACTAGTAACTGGCCAACAGCATTATATCAAATACAGAGTCTCTGTGTTATTTGGGGCTGGCATGGTGGTGGGACTAGATTGGCAGGGGAAAAACTACTTGTAACACTCTACCTAAAAGTCAAAGTTACAAAGCAATAGTGATCTTTCAACAATGGTGTATGTGAGAATGTGTTGTATGCACACGCTTGTGTATATAGTATATATCTGTGTACCTGAAGGTATTTATTATATCTGCTTTCCCTTGAAATGTCATTTCTGGATATTTAAAGCTTCTCTGTGACAATCTTCTCAGATTTTGAGACCGTGTAGCTTTGTCTGTATTGGAGATGTTCCTAGAGAACAGGAGATTGCATGCTAGCTTAGAGGGCTTGGTTTGGATGTGAGCAGATCTGAAGCACCAGCAGGCCATCTACATAGGAGGAGAGCTCAGGGAAGGCATCTTCAGAGGAGGGCAGATGTGGCTGCCAGTGCCTCATCACTGGTCAGTACAGCAAATGGGGAGGGAGAAGAGATACCCAGAGGCAGGCCTATCAAAGATAAAATGCATTGATATGGATGACGGAAATTAAAATTGTAGAGACAGAGAGGAAAATGAGGAAAAGGAGCCAGAGGAATGACTCAATACAGAACTAACAGCTCGAGCTGTTGCCACTTGCACTGATTCTGGCTCTCACTGTAATGTTGACTGCTGCAGCTTACACTTTAGGTAAATTATTTCACTTATTATTAATTATCTGGTGCTGAGAAGAATAATCTGGAAGGACACTGTTAAGCTTATGATTTATCATAGTAGGACAGGCAGTGTTTTCTCTCAGGAGGAAGAAGTATTAAACTCCCAGATCGAAGCCCTCACACATTCAAGTGCTGAACAATCACCCAGCCACTCAGCAGGACAGCTGGAAGCAACTGCTCTGCTTATGAGAGAGAGAGAGAAAGAAAAAAAAAAGGGCTATGTATTTAAACTTTGTTTTACTCTTTCTTCCCCCTGCGGTTGAGTGGTGGCATATGAGTATCAGCCTGCAAGTGCATGAACAGCGCACACATAAATACACAAAATGCAACTTTAAGAAGCCAATATTGCCAAGAATTGCTGGGACATGTCAGTAACCCTAGTTTAAAGGCAGAAGTTGAGGCAGTAGGATTGTATATTCGTGGTGTTTTGGCTAGCTTGTAGCTTATATATCAAATGTCTGTCTCTAGAAGCAAAACAAAATAGATGCTAAATATCTTTAGGATGCATCATCAGTTCAAGTCTTCATGAAAAAGACTAAGAAAATACTACAAAAATCAAAGCAAAAACAAATAAATAAAACAAATAACAACACCCTCCCCCAAAACAACAATAACAAGACTGAATTAAAATATAAGTTCTCCACTGAAATTAAGCAAGCAGACCACCATCACACTGAGTTTCAACAGAGTTCCTATTATGCATTTTACAACAAAATTTAATTTATAAACTTCCAAATTTATGAACTTTCAACTATATGACTACTATTTACTAAAATATTTAAATAATGGACTTAAAGATTTGATATCACTAATGTCACTAGTTTATTTTTAAATTAGAAATTAGTACTTAGAGATATATCGGGTGTTAGGATGGGAAGAGTAACTCACTGATTTCTAGCTGACCTTATAAAAACCAAGGCTTCTAAACAAATTAATAGACCCAGACCAAAGCCACGAGGACCCCGTAAAAGCAGAGGCTTACACTGTCTGGAATTCAGAAGTCATTTCACTGGCCTGAGAATGTGAAAGAAAAGAAACATACTTTTCTGGCAACCCAAATGACAAGCAAG